CAACGGGGTTCATTGCTACATTCACGAAGTAACATTACCTAACTCGTGGTATTCAATACAGTCAGGATTAAATAATATACTATACTTTTATTCTTCTCCGTTAGTTCCAGATGAAGATAATACAAATGTTCATTGGATTGCTGTTGCATTGGCAGAAGGAGTTTATACTGGTACAGAACTGGCAACAGAATTAAAAACAAAAATTAACGGTATTGTTGATAATGTCAATTTCTCAAATACTTATGAAGTTACTTACAGTGTAAAAACTAATAAAATCACGATTTCTTCAAACTATGCCGATAGACAATTTGCAGTATTAACTGATGAACAAATGAAGATAATATATGAAAGTTATATTTGGATTGGAAGTTTTGATGCTAATGATTTAAAGTCTGTTAATGAAGTTTTAGGAAATTATCAAATGAATGTTTATCAATATGGTAATGCTTATGTTTCTGGTTTCGTTAATCTTCAACCTATTAGAAATATTTATATTCATTCTTCTCAATTGTCTAATTATAATCAAGTAAATTTAAGAACGGGCGATAGCACAGTTGTTAAGAAAGTACCAGTCACAGCACCACACGCGGGAATTGTCTTTGATAATGAAATGAACCCTCTCGATTATTTGGATGTGTCAAATAGAAGCTTTAAACAGTTAGACTTCTGGTTGTCTAATTCATTAGGTAATGAAATTAATTTGAATGGCGTTAATGTTAGTCTGAGTCTCCTTTTCGTAAAAAGTGATATTATTTAAATATATTCTATATAGAAATTTAATAGAAAATATATAGAATATATTATATGACAAGTATTGAGGTAGTAGATGTTAATAATGAAACTAAAACAGACGAAGCACCTATTAATAATGAGGTTGTTGAACAAAATGAAACAGTTAATGAAGAACCAACTGAAGAACCAACAAAAGAAACCATAGACAAACCAAAAGCAAAAGCAAAAGCATTACCAAGAACAAAGAAAGAAATTGAAGTAGTCCAGTGTGAAAAATGTGGTAAATCTATGAATGCTAAATCACTTCGTTTTTCACATCCTAAGAATTGTAAGGGTGTTCCTACTGAATTATTACCAGTCAATCCACAAAAGAATATTAGAAAGATCCAACCAGAATTGAAAGAAGAAATTAAGAATGAGATTAAGCAAGAAGTGATTAAAGAAACCATTAAGAAACCCACAGCAACAGAACTATTAAACCAACATTATGAAGAACTTAAACAAAAGAAAAAACAAGATAAACAAGAAAAAATAAACAAATTATCTTCATCAATGTTTTAAATAATAATCTAATTATAATATATATTAATCATGCTTATGAGAAGTCATAGAAATGTAGAATTCAAAAGGCACCACAAGTAGAACGTCATTATGACGTTTCAGATTTATGGGGAGTTGCCTCGCGTATGAATTACTTTAAACAGTTGAAGGACACACTGGAAGCGAAACAATCACAAGGAGCATTAATAAAGTATAGAAACGATTTAGTTGAAAGCAACAGAACCGAAAGTTATAGAAAAGAGTTAGACAGAATAAGAAACATATTAGACAACACACGGTCACCAGATGGAATACAAACAAAGGAACAACTAACTGTAAGAAAGAAACATTTAGAAGAAATGATTAAGAATATCTCTGATTAATTTATTTTTCTAAATAATTAATATACTATGATTAAATCAATGAATAGATTGAATACAGTAGGACCGGTAAAAGTAGGGTCATTGAAATCACAATTACATTTGAGACCTTCTTATGATGAACTATTGAAAGAAACATTAGTAGGAGATGAGAACCGTCCATCAATTGAAAATGTAATAGACAGAAAAGCAACCAGATACAGATTAAATCAATACGGTAGTCAGTTTGATAATAAAGATGCTTTGGATATTCAGAAGAAACAAGAACTGAACAGAAGAGAAGAAGTTATGAAAGAAGCGTCGTCGGACGGTGGTAGTGTAAGAGCTAAACTTGATGACACACTGAAACAACAGCAGTCTTTCATTAATGAAAGATTGGCGGAAGCAAACAAACAGAAAGAAGAACTTGCTGAAAAAATGAGACTTTGGAGAGAACAACACGATGAAATGGCAAGTGCTGTGTCAAAACAATCAATACCAGAAGGTGTAGAAATTCATTCAATGGTGTCCGCTGATGAAATGCCAGAATTAGAACCATTAGAGGAAGGGGAAGAAGAAGATGAACATGAAAACGACCCTGTAGTTGAAGTAGAAGCATTGAAAAAAGGTAAGGATGATGACGATGACGCTCAAACAACCATTACTAATGCTGAGATAATGGAAATGCAAGAACAAGCAAACGAAATGGAATTACAAAATGTTGAAAATGAAGATGTTGATGATGAACGAATTTTCAAAAATTATTTAAGTGGTATAAAGTGGATGTGGCCGGTATATTTAGCAAAAAATCCAAGAAGTTTAATGGATAGTATAATTTCAAAACTACATCAATTCAATGTAATTAACGCTGTTAAATATGATGAGTTCAAAGAATTATTAGATGAATATAACAATACAACAGGAGTAGATAGAAACGCAGTGAAGGTTAAACTACAAAAATATTATGAGGACAATGTTTATAATAAATACTTCGTCCATAAAGCAACCCAACAATAAATAATCTATAATATTTAATATGACTGATAAATATTATGGATTAAGACGACGCCCTACATTTGATGAAATGTTGAAAGAAGCGATGACACACAGATTAAAAATTGAAATCATCCCTGAAAGACAGACATTTGACACATCAATTAATAATATAGACTTTGATGATTTTGACCTTTCAAAATACGATAGGAGACTACGATTGAATGCTAGGGTTCAAACTGATAAACAAGTTCTTCAACATGAATTGTTCCCTGATATGTTTGATGAAGTAGCGCCAACATCACAGTTTTATGAAAACAACGAAGCAGACGCACAAACAACACGATATATAGCAAAAGATTTTACTGATGAAATTTATAGTAATGCAACTTCAGGACCAAAAGATGAACCAAAAGATGAACCAAAAGATGAACCAAAAGATGAAAAGCAGGAAGATTTACAAAGTCTTCATTTAACATCATCATCGTCATCAGCATCAACCGAAAAAGATAAGAAAGAGGAAAGCCAAGAAATAAAGTCATTAAGAAACATATTTTTAGGTGGAGAAGACAAGAGTGTGTTTGAATTATTCAAACGAGAAAAGAAGTCATCCTCACCGTCCATTCAATCCGAAGAACAAGAAGAACAACCAAGGGCATCATTCTGGACAAGACGACAGGTAGAAGCAAGAAGCAGAAGTCACTCACCAGAAGAAAGAGCAAGAGGCAGTCAATGGGGTATAAGACAAATGGAAACGAGAAGCAGAAGTCGGTCACCCGAAGAAATAGCAAGAGGTAGTGAATGGACGAGGGAACAAATGGAAACAAGAAGCAGGAGCAGAAGCCCAGAAAGCGCTGACACAAAAAGTAGCAGAGGCAAGAAGAAAAAATAAAACTACTTAAAGAAATGACCCCTTAATATATTAAGAAAAAAAATGAATAAGTGTATCAGAGAAGAATTGACAAAAGAAATTGTAAAATGCCGTGGTTGTAAGATATACAACAACAAAGTCAAAAAAGCAAATGACATATTTCCTGACTGTATCATTGATAATATTTTGAGTTTTGTATGTTGTAAAAGATGCACCATTACAAAACATTTAATGAAAAACGAACCTGACAATTTAAAAGAAATGGATAAGTGGATTTGGTATATGACGAGGTTAAATAAATGTCCGACGAAAAAGTCATTACGGACAATATTTACAACAGGTTTAGACAAAACCTTAAAAGAGTATGGATACGATAATAGGTTAATCTTGTATTATGAAACCGCTACTCAATTTCATTATAATTTACTTTTTCATGATAATGACAGTTATGTATCTTGTAAAAATTTTAGCATTTCAATGTGTAGAGATTTTATTAAAATGTTGAAATGGCAATATATAGAAAACAAAGACAAAGTCGTTTATAAAAACATTTTTGATAATAAGTTTTATCATAAATTCGTCTGTCATTTGTTAGAAAAGAACAGGTTGATTATAGACTGGTTTAATTATATGGGTACTTATGATTTTAGTGATGATGACTAAGTTTATTAATATTATTATCTTATAATATTAATAAACACTTGAAACCCCAGAAAGCCATAAAATTGTCTGAAACCCGAACCTTGAAAATGATGAAATCTTAGACTGTTTCATAATGAAAAAATTGTAAAAAATGTTGAGAAAATTTACCCAAGAACATTTAAAGGGATAACGGGTATAATTAGTATGGAGGAACAAAATGAGCGAAAATGTAGTTGGTGTAAAAAGTCTAACCCAGATGTAGAATTTACTGATAATAGAAAACTCTGTAATGGGTGTGGCGAGAAAAGTAGAGAGAACCATAGACAGAACCGAGAAAAGGAAAGGCAACAGACAAAAGAATATTATGAACGAAATAAGGAATACAAAAGAATATAACAAAGAATATCGACAATGGCGATATGAATGTCCCTGCTGTAAAGTTATGGTGACTTTTCATAACAAAGCAAGACACGAGCGAACTAAAAAACATCTAAACAACATGAATATAGTAAATGAAACAGAACCATAATTATCTATCATATTGTTAATTTATAATATGATTGATAAATCCAGAATCCTAACCATGTAAATGACAATATCCTAACCTGTTTCATTATGAAACAAATGTTTAAAACATCTGAAAAAAATCCCTACAATCCCCCTTGGTGTTTTGGACAAAATGGTTTGCTTGTTGAAAATGAACCCTGCCCCTGAAACTGAAAACTGAAAATTCCCTGCCTTAGACGCCCCCTTATAACCATTTTTTCCCCCCCCCCCCCCAAACCCTCGGAAATTTGAGGGGGGGGGTGGCTTTTCCGCCGCGGTTTTGTTCGGGGGTTTTTCTGGTCGTCCGGGCTCGAGAGGCCCGGCTCTTGAAGATGATGCACCGTGGCCGGAACGTCTCCGCCGGGGCCCCGAGGCGGCGAGAAGCGCGTGGTTCCAAAGATGGGGCAGAATCGCGCGGAACCGGGGGACATGGGGGCCCCCAAAATGGAGCGGTTGTCAAAGTGTCCCTCTAAGGAGATGAAAGCTGTTCAAGATGGATCTTGGCCAAGGTAGCTTTGGTGGTATTTAAAAGGGAACCTGTGTCAGGGAGCCGAGGCCATTTTGGGTACTGGGCCGATGCTTATTTGAGAAGCAACTTCGTCCAACCAATCTCCCTTCGAGGTGGAGGCGGGAGGGGCTTTCTGCAAGGTGACGGCTGATCTGGCTTTGCTCATCTGCCCAGTGCCACCCGTTTTGTGAATGGTTCGCTTCTTCTCGAAGCGGCCAAGCTGATTCTCTGTGCCAAGTACTGGCTACTGATACTGCCGCTCTACCACCTGAGACTTGGGGCACTCTTTCCACTTTCGGGGTCCCTGGCCGGATCAAGAATTGTTGGTCTTTCCTTTTGGCGTCGAATGAAAAGCCAAACGCAGGTACCAGCTCCAAAAAAAGGCAGAAAAACCATTTCTTCTGCATCCAGTGGTGTTTCACGACCGGATAGGCGGGGTCGGGCCACCAAATCGCAACGCCCAAATGATTGTTGAGCGCCGGGCTCGAATCCACGAAGGTGAACCATGTTGGGCCTGTGGGGTCCCATTTTTGGTTGAACCATTTTTTCCGATGTCGGGTGTTCCGATGTCGGGTGAAGATAGAAAGCTTCGGGGGTTCGAACTTCTAATAAAGAGGGGAAAGTGATTTGCAAGATTGACGGCTGGGTGCTTGCGTAGATGCTGTTGCTGTTTGGGGAGCTGTTTGCGGTGCTGGTGACGGTGCGGGCGCATTTTTGCGAGATAGACGGCCGGGTGCTGGCGCAGGTGCTGTTTTGGGATTCTGTTTGGGGCTGGTGCTTGGGGGGGGTGCTGTGTGCTGCGCTTTTCGGGTGCTCTTAGAGGTGCTGGTGTGCAATCATCCGCCAGTTTTTCGCTCTTTGGGGTCTATGCTGGTGTATTTTTGTAGCTAAACACGGCGAGGTTGTTTCAAAGGTTGACCTCGCAATTCTCCAGGTGCACTTGGGGGACTGTTTTTGAGCCAGCAGCCACCCCTTCTCTAAGACAATTGCAGTGGACGTTTGTCACTGCCCATCATGCACTGGTGGTTCCTCAACTGAACTGGCAGTTTGTAGGTCCCTGCTCTTGCATGTGAGCAAAGGACAGAGCAACAGGACAACCAGAAAACCAGAAGAAAACCAGAAAAACAAAACAAGAGAAACAAAAGGGAGCCACGGAGGCAGGAAAGCCACATCGAACCTGCCGGTTGCAAGGTTTTTGCTGAGAGGCAAGCTGCTGAGCGAGAGGCCGGCGCGAGAGAAGGGGAAAATCAAATGTGTCCATATGTACTGCGTAATCAGTGATTACGTATCTCCAAACCGCTACAAGAGACAATGAGGCAGCCTGCATATATATATATATATATATATATGTATATAGTATATATATATATACGCTGTATATAAACAACTATAAAGCCACAACATAGATGTTTTTTGCTCATACATCAGCCATCTTCTTTTTTTTTTGTGCGCGGCAAGTGGGTCAGTAATCCTTGGGCTTCAACTTTGATCTTTGCGGGAAGCTGGTTGGACATGTCCCAAATGCTTGGCGCTCGGCTTGGTCTGAGCCATGTGCGATCCACGTGTAAAAAAAAACAAGCACGAGCAAAGATCGGCTTCGGTGGCAGTTGGACAACTCTCAGGGTGCTGTGGAACGCTGAAATCGCGCATAGAGGTGTACTTTGCGTTCTGTCTCTCAGATTTGCGCGACGGCATAGGTATCCTTAGGTTAGCCTGTTTGCGCATAAGTGGATTCCACTGGTTGCCGCTTGGATTGAATTCATTTAAATCAGTGCCATGGAGATTTGGCCGAAAGGACGATGGTGGTTTCCCTTTCGCCCACGGGGGAAAACTTGGGATGCACCACACATCGGCTGGTAGGATTCTCGGGTTTGCTCTGGTCCTTACGGGCATCTTCTTTTATTTTGTTTCTCTTTCTTTTTTTTTGGGGTGGGGGGGGGAAAACCAATGGGATGCCACCCCATGTCTTGGGTTCTCATGGGTCTCCTGTGGAGACAAAAAACATATGAGCTGACAGGACGCTTGGACTGTTGGCTTGAGCACCAGACGGGCAACCGGGCAGATTCCGCTTGAGGCTCTTCGGCGCGGCTGGCAGCTGCATGACCGGGATTCCGAGCTCACAAAACATCACCGGGCCGTTTCCGAGCCAAGCCGCCCCCTTCTTTTTTTTCTCCGCTTGCAAGTGTGGTGCTTCTTCCCTCACGAAAACAAAGCCGAGCCGCTGTGCGCTTTTTCGCTGGGTTCCAGGCGTACCTGGAGCGCCTCTGCGAGTTCAACCGGTCCTTGATCGGGAACTTCATCCGCATGATCGACGCCCGGACGCTCAGTCCAGTCTCGTTCCCCCCAAAAAAACAACGCGATTTCTCCGTCGCCCGAACGAGCCGAGCTGGCTTGTTTCTTTTTTCTTTTCTTGTTTTTTGGGGGGGATGGAAATCGCAGGATTTGATGCGAAGTCTGGGTGTGTGGTTTTGTCAGGGCGCTTCTTTGTTGGGGTGTTTCAAGGGGAAAAAACAATACTTGTTTTGGATTGAGGGTCGCAGCCCTCTTATTTCAAGCTCCTGGCCTCTGTGGATATGAGGGCAAATCGCTTTAAGAAGCCAGCTCCCATTTTGGGGGGTTTCAGGTAACCACGTGCCGCCTTTCGCAATGCAAGCACGAGCTTCACACACCAGCATGAGGGCGTGTCATGCGCAATGAACACACAAGATGACCAACTCCCCCCCTCCCCGAGAGCTGGATCTTGGGCAGATCAAAGAGTCCCTTCCTTTGAGGGCGAGCGTTCGAACGCTGCTCAAGGTGCTCAGCAAACACAGATCCGCTTCCAACATCACATGTACTTTGAGCTCTTTGCCGAATCTCGCTCGCGCTTGTCCTCCATTTGCTTAAGAGCTTCTCTTTTTTTGTTGAACAAATCAAAATAACAATCCCTTGTTGGTCTTAAAAAGGAATTCATCACTACGCGAAACATGTTTATGTTTTCCTGAGGCCTTGACCAAATGGAAGTTGTTTTGCCTTCAGTGTGCCAAAAAGGCCAGGGCTGGCTCTCGCCACTCAGCCCGGGAAAGCTGGATCGGTGGATTTTTGGGTACGGCGGTTCCGCGGAAAACCGTTCCGCGAAGAGCTGCCTGGTGTGCATGAGTTTCAATGGACACCGAGAACATCACAGGGATTTTTCGTCCGACCGCCGTTTCCGAGGGTGTTCCAGCCATTGACATCCGATGGCAAGCCGAATCAGGGGATCCGATTCGCACTTTGCGGGGGTTCGCGCGGGTGTGGTTGGCAGCGCAGGTCAGAATTCAGCTTCTCTGCGGCACAATTTACGGTTGCCCCTATGGTTGATCAATCTCTCACTCATCACTCATCAACCAGGGCAACTGGGGGCCCCTTTCTTGCGAGGCTTCCCTTCGACCTTTTTATTTTTCTGACGAAAACATGGTGAGAGGGGATTCTGGCTGAAACAGACCAACTCAGTACTTGCGGTTTCAGCCATGAACCCCTCAAACGGATGGCGATACGTTTCAACGTTGGGGTTATGTTGGCGATACGTTTCAACCGATGTCCGAGTTGCTGGCTGGGCCCAGGATTCTCCTTGAGATTTCAAGGAAGTGCCAAACAAACCCCGACATCGGTTGGTTGCAAGTGCGTCGTTTTTTAACAAGGTTCCCAAATGGCAGGACGGACCCAGTGCCGGGATGTCCACGCACAGTGACAGAGTCAAATGCCATCAACAAAATACTGTTTGGGCAACCCACAGACAGGTTCCCAGTTAGAAATGGTATGTCTGTTTTGAGGGAGCGGGAGCCTGTTCTTGGGTCATTTCAATGGGCAAGCAACAGGAAAGGCACCAGTTTGGGTGAAGACATACCCAAATCCCAGGTTGCCCGAACCCCTCTGTCTACCACCAGTCAGGTGATTCAGCAGAGCTGCTTGGTGGATCTTGCCGTCCGCACCCGAGCACCTCCCACGAAAAGTTGTGTATAATCAAGGGCCTTCGGCCTTCTCCTTGTGAGGATTTCTTTCGAGGGGAGTACCCGGATGAAGAATTGGAAGTCTATGACTCAGGAGTCTGCATGAATCGTTTGGCGCGGCACCTGTATTTCCCCCGAGTGTGTCTGACACTCGCTTCAAATGCCCCCCCCCAAAGGCGGTCGGTATTCTTATTGGAAAGCCGAAAGGAAGCCATTGCCATTTTGGGGGACTTGTTTTGAACTTTCCAAAGAATCGGAGTGGTTTATGATATCCACATGTATCCTTTGCGCGGGAGAGTTGCCTCTCCATAGGGCCCAGATCTTTACTTTCTTCTCGTTGAAGGCCCCCTCGCTGGTTTCGGGGACCTATTTGTGAGGTGCCCCTTGAGGGGTGGGTATAAAGGGAAGCCACAAGGAAAGCCGACGACTTTTTACATTCAAAGCCAAGGCAAGAACACGGAATTCATTTCCCTCAAACATGGGTAGGCCCAAGGTGGCCTCTTTTTTTTTGGCTGCCTGGCTTCCCTTCAACGGGCAACCCTCAAAACGCACCCCGCCCTGATCCCTGAAAGCCAAGCCATTCTTGCACACACCCGGCTGGATTGGATCTGAAGTGTTGGTTGAACACCCCCTTGGTTGGGTGTTTTTTCTTTCTTATTGGGACACCGGAGGGAACACCAGCCTTTGGGCTTTTTGGGCTTTGGGTGCTTCCCTTTGTATGGTCCTTTCCTGTGCTTCCCTTTCGGTGGCACGGTGTTTGGCAGCGTGTTCTCCAAGTTCCCTTCCCAGCTGTCCGGGCCTGTCCGAGGGACAGAGGTCTGTCCCCAGGCAGTGGAGCTATGGGAACTGGAGGGGTCCAAGCCACCGCTCCAAACCCCCAATTTGGAAGCTGAAGCAAAATGGAGAACTGGCCGCCCGCTGCGTGGCCCAAACGAAGAAGCGTGCAAGCTCGAGCTTAAAAGCAAGGGTATTGAACCAATCGGCCGAGGGATCTCGATTTTCTTCTGTTGCCCTTTCCTGAAACAAATAACCCAACATGATTATGTCTTGCGGTGCGTGTAAACTGTAAGGACCCTTCTTTTTCGACGCGCTGAGGATTTTCCATGTTCGATGTTTGAGTTAACTTGGAACTCCTGTCAGAGACTCCGGGTACCTTTCTTCGGTCGGGGAGGTGTCGGAAATGACGTCTACGGATCCAGTTTGTGGGAGAATGGTTCAAAGGAGTCAGACAGGGGCTCTGTGCACCAAACCATGTTCGTCGGTGGGAGTGTACCTAACCATTGTTTAAATATTAACCCAAAAAACACCAGATCGAAGCAGCCACCCATGAAACAACGGGTACCGGTAACCAGGTACTTTGGGGCATTTTGCTTGGATGTTCGGACTTTAACTTTTTGCCAACTCATGGGTTTTCCGTATTAAACTACTCAAAGTTCTCAAAGTTTTCAACTTTGAGCAGGGGAGCAGAGGCAACAACCATGAAACAAAAAGAAGAAGCACCTCCTTTTTTAATACAAAAAAAAACAGAAACGCCACCCACAAAAAACGGGCACCGAAAAATAAATACGTAAAAACAAATTTAAACAAATAACAATAAAAATCAAAAACGGAAGCCACGCCGAGCCACCTGCTGGAACCACGTGAGGTGTCGAAGGTCCGCAGCCTCTACGACCGCTTCGCGAGGCGGCGTCAAGCGGAGTTTGGCGCGGGGGAGCAGACGCAAAAGGCGCCCCTCCGGGCTTTGGTTGGGCATTCCTTTGGACTGATAGGTGCAAGTGCCAACCTGACACGGGTTCAGGCACTGGATGACAACCCCTATGTAGTGAGCAGGAGGAAACCTCCGCAGGTCACGACGCACACCAGCGAAGGCAAAGCAAACCGCAAGGAACCAGAAGGTGGGTGAGTCCATCTTTCGTTTGTGAGGCTACCTTGTTTCCCGATGGGTTTGTTGAGGATGTGTGGGGGGGGGGGGCCTTTTTCTCTTTTTCCCGGTGGGCTTTTTGAGGATCTGTGGAGAAAATATGGATGTGGCTGACATGGGCGCTTCGATGGGGTCCCTTCTGGTTGGAGCGAAGAGGGACAGCATTTGGTCTCTTCTCCTGCCGTCGTTTCGTCCAATCTCTGTCTACTTCTTCTCCCTTCATGTCTCGCCTATCAACTAATTCTAATGGCGAGACCCAGTGAGAGATTGAAAAGCTGAGGGAATTGATAGTAAAAGAAAGGAATGAGAGACTCAGATGGAAAGGCTCTTCTCTTTATCTTACCTCTCATGCCCCCCCAAAAAAGCCAAGATTCGCCATTGGTTTTGTCCCTCATGGTTTTCTCGTTTCTTTTTTCTCCTTTCCCCTTTGGTTTCCCCCCCAAAAAGAAGTCCACGATTCGGGCGACTCGCTGTCAGGACGCCGAAGCTCTTCCAGGTGTCCGCGGCCTTCGAGCCGGCCCCAGGCGTAGCGCTCGAGAGATGGGCGCGTCCCAGGAGACGAAGGGTTTGAGACGAGCGTTGGAGCTCACGGAGCTTCATGTTTTTTGTTGGGGGGCGGCGTTTTTTGTTTTGAGTTTTTTTTGGTTTGAGTTAGTGGCCCCTTCTTTCTTTTTGGTGTGGGGCTTGAAAGGGACACTTTGGGGGGGGGGGTCCCCTAAAACGAGAGAGTCCCTTTTGGCCTTAACGGCCGTTACAGGCCCTGCGGGGTGTCCTTCATTTTCCCTTTTAGCCAGCAACAGATCGCTGTTTGCAGGCTAAGTCTGGTCAAGGTTGGAAGGCCCATTTGAAATGGTTGGTGGACATATATACAGCCATGTTCTTTCCGGGGTCCCCACATGCAGTGTTTGGGTGGAGTCATCTTCTTCTTTTTCCGGATCCGGTGGATCGTCTTCCGGAGCCGCAAATGCACATAGCTCGTGAGCGTAGGGCGGCCTAGGACAGTCCTCAGATAGAGGGGAGAGGGGTTTTCCAGGGAAATATTTATCATGTGATTTGTTTTATTTATATTTTGTTGGGGGGCGGCAAGAAATATGTTAAACGGTTGGTCAGGGTTTCAAGAGGCCGGGCTCATTTTTAACAAGGTATCGAAATGTACCAATGAACCATGCAAAATCAATATCTTAAAGCCCCTTTTGACATGAACAATTGCAACACATTATTCAGAAAATACCCCAGAATTGATACCTGTGTTTTGAACAGAATGATTGCAGGTGCTGCTTGCAGGGCTGAGCCAAGAGACGCAGCAGCTCCACCCGGAAATGGAGGACGTGGAAGTACGAGAACATGGCGCATTCCTAAGGAGGACGTCCAACAAAAGCTTCGCTGCGTGAACGCGAAGACGGACGCGGGCCGCTGGCGCAGCGATCCCTCTGAGGAAGGATCAAGCGGCCCCGGAGAAGAAACCGAACCCTGTGGTCAAGGACGTTGATTCATCGCGCGGGTGGCGACCAGTCCATGACCTTCGCTTGGCACTTTGAGAAATCGGCAGGGCTTCGTCCAGCGCCTCCTCTCGGGGTGCTGGAAAGGGAAACCGAAGGAAAACGAGGGGTTCCCCAGCCGATTTTGAACGCCTGCTTGGGTCAAAAGACTGATGGTGGACCTTGTGGGACATGAGATTAGCAGTCGAAGGACTACGAATGCGAAGTTTTTGCCAGGGGGCCAAATTCACTTGTTAGTTGACCTAGGAGGAAGTGAGAAGTCGCCGCATCGGCCGTTTTTTTTCCCCGATCCGTTTCGCCTAAACTGCCGCTGGACGATTTGATGGGCGCGAAAAACGCGCCAGGGAAGGCCATGGGTGTGTCGAATTTTTGTTAGGGGAACCCCTAAAATGAGTGGTCGTCCTTTTGGGTTTCCCTTTTACCAACTCAAACAACAGCATGGCGAGCCACCCACATGGCTCCTCTTTGGTCTTCACAACCCTAGAAATGCGCGGGGCTCGTATCGTCGGTTCGGGTTTGTTGAAAAGGGAGACGCCCAACACCAATGGACCAAGCCATGCCCAGCAGGGCAATTAATTTTCGGGTGGTTCAGTTCATTGGAAGCAAGGCAAATCAAGAGGTCTCGGGATGGCGTCAATCGCAAGGTGTGAAGTAAACCAACCCAAACAACACCTGATATCATGGCTTAAGGTTGACCCCAGGGGGTCCCTTCAAAAGTGGTCTGAGTCCCCTCTAGACCCAGTAAACGTACACACCCCCTGTGAATAAACCTGAAATTGATTAATATGGGGTCAACATTGCTGGTTCAATTTGGCTAGCAAAGCCCGTATAAGTTGTCACAAGCATCTTAGTTGAACCAGACGCCCATGGATTTTGGATGTGGATGCGGCTTGCTTGGGCCCAAAACTTGGTTGGTCCAGGTGCACCTTGCCAGCTGTAGAATGGATGTTTAGAGTTGAAAGGGGTTCATGGTTCATGACTGTGAACAAAGGAGCAGCCAAACTATAAACGTGCGCGTATCTTTTTGAGGCTCTGGGGACTTTTTGTAGCTCTGGGAACTTTTTGGTAGAGGCCAAGCTCCAAAAGGACCACCACATCATTGGGGGCTCCCAGCCATCCCCTTAGCTTTTCAGCCTTTTAGTGTTTAGTGGTAGTTTCCATTTAACCCACCAACAGTTAAGCTTTTAGAGGGGGATCTGAGGGCAGCCCAGATCATTGGAGGGGGGGGGGTCCGGAAAAAAAAAAGAAGCCCTCGCGTCTCGCAGGTGCCAAGGTGCGGGCCGCTGGGGGAACGGAGCGGGTACATCTCTCATCCAAGTTGCCTCCATGGAGCTTTGGGCGCGATGGCCAGAAACAGTGGCAAGGAGTCGCTCTTCTTTTTCTTTTTTTTTGCGCAGGTCGCCCCTTTTTTTGGAGAGGGTTCCCCCTACTAAAATAGACTACGGGAAAAAAGGGTACGCTGATTCTAACCTCTCTACTGGAGGACCTAGTTGCCCATCCGCTCAGTTTGAAGTGAGGTTTGGTTGTACTTTTGGAAGAGATCGGGGGATTGACTAAGAATTCGCGAGAAGCGTTCGGCAGCTTAGCGTCTAGGCATGTTTTTGGGCACAAGCGGATTCCGCCTGTTCGGCTTTCATTTGCAGGCAATTCAAGCAACAGGAGATTTGTTCAAAGGAGCCAGTTGTCTACGGGGACAGGGGGTCGGGGGATCATTTGGGGGTACGGGACGAGCAGAAATGGAATGAGCCACCAAACAAAAATCATGTCCTTTGACTGACCAACCGATGTTTTGATTCTTTGGGGTGAACTGCCCTCCAAGTCCTTTTTTTGGAGTTTTCGACATCAGCATTGGGTTGCCAATGAAGCTTCCCACCAGAGATATTGAAACTTGTCACCCACAGGCAGTTATGCGTGTCGCATCCGAACCCATTCAGGGTCACCCAAAACAGATGAGGCAGTTCACCTTTGAACTTTGTCGAGTGTGGCCGTTGTCCAACCAGCCAGCCAATTGCGAGGTCTTAGATGAATCTGCACAGTATCATGCGGCTTAAGAGAGACAATTTGGGACTCCGCCGGAAAGGATTTGAACGACTGCTTTTTTGAGTGAACACATTGGCAAGCTCTACTGCGGCAAGTCTCGGGCGCCCCGCACACCCAAAGAAAAAAACCAACCCAATCTTCAGAATCCAGAAGTTCACACCAAACTCTGAAGTCTGCTCCATTCTTCAGCTTCCTTCCCCCACAAAAAATGAAACGACCCCCCGGGTTTCTCCGGTTTTCCCCGAGTCGATGTGGATCGGAGGTCCCCTTGGTGCTGGAGCCGGGGAAGCAGGACTTCTTGGAGGGCATGCAGCAGGAGCGACGAAAGAAACCAGGGGAAGCACGCAGACGGTGAGGTAGGCGTAGAGTAAACAGAAGCTGCATCTAAATGCATATTCATGGTGTGTATATATATAAATGTGCATATTTCTATATAGACTGTCTATGTGTGGTTTTCTCTAGCTGTATATGCATATGCTATGTATCAGTTGTTTAGCATGCATATGGATGCTTACATGTTACATAATAAACTGCGAGTTGCATCATACTTGAATCACCTTGTATGTGCTTGTGCATCAGCCCAATCAAGGGGCAAGGCTTTTCGGATTCACCATGGCAGCGTGAGCAGGAAAGAGGGCTGGGCGCGGCTCGTCAAGGCATCAGGAGGTCCATCAACATCAGGGGATCAGGAGGTCCATCAACAAGGGAGGTCAGGGATCAGGAGGTCCATCAGTTTGGGGTCAGAGAGACCAATTCAAATTGGTAGCGTGAGCTCTGTTCTCGCCGCGCATGCCGCGCGACAGGTACCTCCTCAACGACACATCTGCCTTGGTCGGCCATTCCGGCATTCCAGCCCGGGAAAGACCGATGTCGATGAGTACTCCAAGAAGCTTGAGTTTCTCGCAGGAGTATGGCCGGAAGAACATCTGGGGCTTTTTAGCACCAAGGGCAGCTCTGTTGTGCGAAGCATCCGCATTCAAACGGGTCATGACCATCAGCCCCGACAAGTTGAATGCCAACAGTCTGTAAGGAGTTTGGTTGTTGGTAAAGCTGCTTGGAGGGAACCGGGGGAAGACCTTGCTGGAAAACAAGCATGAGCGCTTCGAGAGGGCGATCTGCGCGACGAACCAGAAAGTGGATGAGACACACGACAGCTATCCGGCCAGAATGGAGCATCAGTTTCATGAAGAGATGAGTTATGGCACAACCCTTCAGGAGGACCGGGCATATGTGATCTTGAGACAGTCAGGTCTCTCTCGCCGGACAAGAAGAAGAAGACAGTCGTGGACTGTGGAGGAACGTTGGACTGCTCTAAGGTCATCAGCTCAGGGCGGCTCTTGGGATCCAAGTTCAGGAACTACAGTCGGGATAGTCCAGACCCGCATGAAGGTCTACGATACCAACCTCGCGCAGGAGCCAGAGATAGCGGAAGACGAGGAGGCGATCTACCAAACGGAGGCCACGGAGGAGATCAGGAGGATCAGCTTGAGGTCAGAGAGACTTCGTGACCAATTCAAAATAATCACAGATACGTATGTGTATGTCTATATATATATGCGTGTCTGAGTGTATGCATATATATATATCTACGCATATTTCTTATGGCGTTTATCGGTTCGTTGGTAAAGGGAGCGAAGCCCGTGATGCAACCTCTCTGCTTTGGGATGGAAATCTGCCTCTGTATATATATATATATATATCTACATGTGCTGGCTTTTCCAGGGCTTACGTCTTATATTTGGCAAGCACATTTCTAGATGTTTGGGCTTAATTTGCGCAAGCCTGATTGTCAAAAGCAAGATAGATATACAATTGCTGGTCAATATATATATATATATAAGCACCCCCCGCCTCAAAACCTGCGCCTGCTGCTGCTTATGTAAGGGAAGTCAGGTCAATTTCGACAGATGTTACAAGAAGTGGGCTCATAGTCACAATGTTGGCAGGCTTGCGCAGATGATTCATTAAGATTCTGCCACCCATACGAACAAGTATTCATTGCTTCTATTGTCTTGCAGGTTGTTTGTGGCATTCATCCTTTTGCTTGTTCAATCACGTACTACATCTGTTTAATCTTTAACCTTAGATCCAAAAAAGCTTTGAAGCGCTTTAGCGCGTTTTGGGAGGCACACTGGCTTCAGTGTTCGAGAGCTAGAGTCCTAGGAGCCTTGAGCCTTGAATGCGGGGCACTGTGACATGCTCAAGTCTGGGGTGCCTGAAAAGTGGGCGGGAATCACCCAAAAGTACTATAAATTCGATGAACTTCTCTTGAGTTTTGGGGAGGGGGGTACATATATATATATATATATGTATGGATGTATATATATATATATATATATATTTGTACATAAATTGATGTATTCCTGGATTTGCCGACACCGTTCAAAGCTTGAGCTTTGGCATACTCTCGGGCTTCGGAAAAAGTACAGCTTTCCCATTTCCACATCAAGGCTATGCGTCTGGCTTCTCGCCCATTTGTTTGATTGGTTTGCATGTGCTGGAGCCGTGAGCCTACAAACTGTACTCGTTTTCAGTGCTTCGAGCAAGGACCTGAAACAGGCCAAGGCTTGGCCTAGAAACGACACGCAACCAGAACCCGAAGAAAACAATGGGGGTTGATAGAACTTGATCTAGGGATTTTTTCCCCATTTAAATTGGAACAACCACTCTTTTCTTGGGGCAAGGAATTTTTCAGGGCTACTTTGCAGCGGGTACCCCGCTCCGACGTTTGCTCCGGTGTTCAGGTCTTGGAGCAAATCACGGCGGCGGTGAGCCAAGTGTCCCCGGTGGTGTCCTACCGGAAGTACTCCAGGCAAACCGGCGAAGCGGGCTCCGTCGAGCCGGGCGAAGCGAGCTCCTTAATTAAATTTCACCGTGGTCGAAGGGACGGATTTCGGTTTTTCCAGATGAAATCCGTGAAAAACTCCCATGTTGGGCTTGAGCTGGACTGTCCGGAGTCGACTTTGCCGGGTGATGTTGGATGGAGCGGTTCGGCGGATGGAAGGTTTGAAAGAACATGGACGCACTCCGTGGCTTCTCTCTGCGTCAATCTTCTGGGAGTTTATTTTTGGGGGGACCCCCAGAATGTTTTTCTGGCTTTCCTTTTTTCCTCTTCGGGTTCCTGTCGTGTGCTCTCCTGGCTGCCGCTCGTCACCACATTTGACTAGTTTTCAGCAAGGGGCCCGTGTCCCAAAGAGTCACGGGACGGGATGTGCCAAAGGGAAAGACAAACCCATATCCACTTTCGGTTCTGAATGAACCCGGAAACCGGATCTAAAAAAACCGTGCACAACGAGGAATGCCAACCGGAGGATCTAAAAAACAGGGCCCCTACCATGGTTCCCAACAGGCAACCGACGTAATCCTGTCGCTCCGACTGCCAGCCGGTTGCATTTCAACTCGCTGGGATTCCCTTTGGGCTTCCCGGGAGGAGCGCGAAAACAAGACACTCCCTCGGAAACCCCGGCAGGATCCCCTGAAAAATGGAATAGGGGTGTTCCTTGTGATTTAAATCGGGAAAAATCTTCAACTTTAGGGTGGTCCATGGTTGTTGCGCCCAAGACAGTTCCCTAAGTGACAAAGTAGTTATGCAAATGGGTATGTCGTCAAATAGGGAGCCCCCAGAACGGATTTTGCTTTTCCTTTTGGGTTCGCTTTAAACCAACCCAGCAACAGCGCAGACCTAAATTGTACATGTTGTTATCACGGTTTTGGGCCGTTTCCCACCTCGACGGGGTCCTCGCAGCAGTTTCTTTTTTTTTTTCAGAGATGGTACGATTCCCTCAAATTGGGTGTTTCTTCCTTTTTTACGAATCGGACCAGGACCCCAAAATGGATTTCAGGTTTCTTTTTAATTTCCCTCTAGAACCACCCCGCAAAGGGTACCTTCATAAAGAGACGGAACCATATGGTTTAGTCACCCCCTTTGCCCAGGGCGGAATTGTGCCGTCTGTATGTTTCTGAAAATTCGAGAGGCAGGAACGGCTTTCGTGAGAACTCCGTAGATGGCTTCCTTTTCATTTCGCTTTGGGCAGCAATAAACAGTGGTCCCGTTTTTTGAAACCTCATGTTGGATGGTTTCAAGATGGTGAATGACTTTGCTTTTTTGGTGAGTTTAGGTTGAACACTAAAATAAACTACAGAAAAAAGGGACCCTTATTCTAACCTCTGCACTGGAGGACCTAGTTATTGAACCATGGCTGCTTCTTAGACCCGGGGCAGCCTTCAAGCAGGTGCCGGCGATGGTTTTTTTCGGGACCCTGGGAGTTTTGACCCATCCCCGGAATCTGCGGTAGAGTTCAAGACGCTTCGGAACCAACCTCTGGGTCCCGGATATGTTGCCGCTTTTTTTGTTTTGTTCTTAAACATCATCCTTCAGGTAGGTGGTGCCTCACCTAGCAGGACATTTGAGGGTATGATGACATTCTGTTGGTATCTTACTGGACGCCAAAAAAGGAGTCCAGCTGTAGGGACCGAGCCCCATGTTGAGAAACCACAAGGAGATCCCCGAAATCGGAATCGCCGGCGTCGACTCGAACTTTTTTTTCTGCGGCGAGGCACTTCAAGGCAGATCCTTTGGCGGCCAACCCCACGGACGTGATTTGGTGCGACGGGACCTTCAGGACCTGTTGAAAGCACAGCTGTCCTTTTTGGGTGGTTTCTAGCTCGAAAAATAGATGGCGATCCCTGGTAAACCCTGGTGGTTTAATCATCTACCAGGGAAACCCATCTATTTCCCCTAAAAGGACTATGGTTGAAAAGGCTTCGGGCTGGGCGGCGGGGCACTCGTGGACGCGTGGCCAACTGGACTCGATTGGATATGGGCCCATGGGAAGGGGTCAATGTGAATCGAGGTTTCGGCCGAGCCGAACAGTTGGGCAGTTTGGCCCTTGAAGATCCATCATGCAGGTGCTATAAACCGCACTTTGCCCCCTGTGTTGGGGTTGGACAAGAGCTGTTTTGGAAGGCTCTGTGTGCGTTTGATCAAGGCTTCCGCTCCAGGTCCTTGGCCATATGTCAAAGGTGTCAGCTCTCGGCTTGTTTCCACTTGGCCAGGCACTCGCCCTCAAGTTGCGCTCGCACTTGTGGGCCAGGAGTGCCAAGGAGGGTCTCATGAAGCAGATTGAGACCGACTTTGACAAGGCGAAACCGAAGCGCTGCGCTTGCGATCTTTGGGGGCAGTCGGGCCAGCGCAAAGGGTCAGGAGGATCTGCCCCCTGCATACGGAAAACTATGCCCTGGAACACCTCGATTTTTGGGCCAGCGCAAAGGGTCAGGAGGATCTGCCCCCTAGGTGTTTGTGTGCCATAGGTTGCACCTCCACTGTCCGGCACACGATTAGCTTGAACGAATTAAAAATGGCGGCCGCTTGGATGTGGCAACTTGGTGAGTCAGAAGCCGGAACTCTAGTTCTCTCCTGAAAGGTTTCGAACGATATGTTTGGGAGGGGGGGTGGGAACCCCCTTCTGGTTGGTTTTCAAAGGGCAAGCGGATTCGGAAAGTATCCACTGTGTTGGGTCCCCTATTTTAAGACACCTACCCCCTACTCCAAATACCCTCTTTTTCTAGGGTATGATGTCGACCCTCTACTAAAAAAAAGTACCATGGGAAACGCAGGTTAATCAGAAAATACAAAAAAAGGTGGGTATTTGGAGTAGGGGGTACTGCTTGGGTACGCTAAGTGAATGTTACTCGCTGCAATAACTTTCAACTGCGCGCGCAAGTCAGTCCGATTCCGCGGTTCTCTGGGATTCTTGGTCACGTGAACAGTGAACTGTGCAGACCTTGGAGCCGTTTTTTTGACGAAAAGGATGACAAATCGGAAACCGACCACTCGCCAAGAGTGAGCAACAATAGCATGTGGGTCTACTATCTGGTTTGCTAGGGGTTATAGTATGGAGAAAGGTCTCTATAAACATGTATGACCATCTTGGTAGAGCCAAAAGTCAGCCTGTTTCCAACAATCATGCAAGCAGACAGGGGTTTGGCAGACTTCCATCCTCTAGATAAGGCCTCTGGTCCACTTCCTTTGGAAAAAGGTCAGCTGAGCCACATTCAAAACTCGGGTAGATGAAGGTTGGTAAGGGACAATCCCAGCCATAAATAGCTGCGGGAATCCGTCTTCTTAAGTCCTGAAGCATGGTTCTGGGATTCCGACCATTTTAGTACCAGGTTTTGATTGTGACTCACATGCTTTTTGTTCAGATAGCTGAGTTGATTTTCGTGTACCTGGTTTTGAGGCACCACCTTTTTGGTTGGTTTTGAAAAGACACCAAGCATTTTGGGGGTCTGAAAAAAGGCCCACCTTCCGCTGACTCGCAGAGTCAAGCGCGGCCTGCGAGGCTCAGCAGTTCTGCGAGGGCCGCGCGGATGCAAGAGGTTGGCTGCAACTATGGCGATGCCTTTTTAAGAAGGACCGAAGGACCCCACAAGCGGTTGGTGGAGAAAAACAAAAAAGTGGTTGGTGGGCAGAAACATCCCCACCTAAATGAATGATGTCCGCAAAAAGGTCTAAAGAAGTTTCATAGCCCCATGTCTGCCGATTGTATGGATCGTGCGGTTCCACTGATCCGGTGATTCGAGCTCACTGTGACTTAGGTTCTTGACTTGGGGATCCAAGTCTTATTTCAGGTTTTGGACATAGAGCAACATTTTTGCGGCAAAATGTTGAAGAACTACCACGCCCAACTACCAGGCCCTAAGTTCCCAGCTGATGCAAGGTTCGAGCCGTCATTCGCGTTTTCCCGCGACACTTCTTGGAAGCAGTGTTTTTTTGAGTTTACACCAGCCGTGTTTATTTTGAAATTCCTCATTTTTGATTCGCATTTTGGTGTTTTTTTCAATCACGAAGCGAGCAAGCAAGTGAGTGAGCGACTGGTGATTCCAAAGAAAACACCACCTCGATCCCGTTTTTTTTTTTTGAAATCACGCCGCGGGGTCCCAATGCTTCTTTTGAAATCACGCCTGCTGGTTTGTGTTGCGTTCATGCCTGCGGGCCGGGGTGTTTTTTCTTTGGAAATCACGCCTGGGGGTCCCAGTGTTTTCTTGCTTTACATCACGCCTGGGCGTGATTTCAAGGAAAAAACACCGGGACCCCCTGGGCGTGATTTCAACAACAAAAACAAACACTGGGACCCCCCAGGCGTGACTGCAAAAAATACAACACCTGGACCCCCGAGGCGTGATTTCAAAATATGTGATTCCAAAAACGAAAAACGGAGCCACACTTCTTGCAGATGGGCCCAGCTCTTGTTTAAATCACCAATGTTGAATCTAGGGCCTTGCTTCAACCTGGGAAACCAACATGCCTTCTAAAAGCGCCGGCATTGGATTGTTCTAAGGCAATGAGTGGATGTCTCAGGAATTCTGGTTCCCAATTTCACGTTTGGATGGGTCTTGACGTCTCAAAACCCTCCCACGCCTCAAAAATTCCTCCCAAACAGGGGAAGCGGCAGCCAAAAAAGGACGTTTGGATGGGTTTTCCTTCAAATGCCATCAACCTCGCCAAGGTGTTTTTACCTCTGCAATTTTCCCGTTTTACTTTACTCACCATTGCCATCAACATCGCCAGCATAATTTTACCTCTGCAATGTTCGGTTTTACTTTACTCACCATTGCCATCAACATCGCCAGCGTAATTTTACCTCTGCAATGATCGGTTTTACATTACTCACCATACTAGCTCCCCCAGTAGTGCCCTTTTACCAACTTTTTTTGGGGAGGGTTCCCCTACTAACATAGACTACAGAACAACAAGTTGGTACCCTTATTCTAAGCTCTCAAATCTGGAGGACCTAGTCAACATCGCCAGGGTGTTTACCTCTCAGTTTTACCTTCAGTGTAGCTGGATCCACGGGGTTTCACCCCGCCCCCCCCGCTCATTTTTTGGAGCTGGATCGGCTCGAGGCCACTTCGCGGTGGTGCACAAGATCCACCTGCACAGTCTCGACTGGGCCAGGGGGCCCGGCGTCACTCCCCAACTGGGATCTGGGGCTTGGGCAGTTTGGGTCGCGTGGAGTTGGGTCGACCGTTCTTTTTTGAGGGGAGCCTTTGTTCCAGTGACCCCTGTTTTGGTTTTGGGGGATTGGCAAGGAGAAACTGGAATTGGTTGCTTCCCTTCAACCCACCAAATGGGGGTGACTTTAGTGGTACATTCTTTGCGGCCAGTGGATGGTTCCAAGATGTTTCGTTTTAGAACGAGCCCGTGAAATTGCGGAGTGACTTTTTTTGCGTCGCGCGAAGACGCAACCACAGCAGGCACAAACACGAGACCACATCAGCCAATGGAATGGATCACTTCTGCATGGTACTGGGGACCTTAAGGTGGGTTCAACAGGAAGAAGCCTGCTTCCGATCTGTTCTATCCCAAGTGACTCCCAAAATGGGAATCTTTTTTTCTTTTTTCTTTTTTTCGCGGGTAAGCTTTTGTACAAGGGAACCGAGGGCCCTTCGAGACCACCGCAAAGCTTGCTGGTTCTCTTCCCTCTGAACTATCTCTTGAAGCTTCCATTTTGGGGATGTGCCGGCCAATTCTCAATACCTTTGGCTAAAGCAAGAAGGCCCAGTGAAATCATTTCCCGTAGGCAAGCAACGAAACCACCTCCGGACCCATAGATCTGATGATCCTCCGTTTCAGCCCCAAGCTACCGATGTGGGCTGTGTTGGACCTGGAAATTCCCGAAAACTCCAACCCCTGGATCCCAGCCGGGGGCTGGGGAAAATCCACTCGGCCACTCCGAGCCAATCGATCCGTTTCTTTTCCCTCGGATCCGATCCGGGGGGCTTTTCCATCGACCGGATCGAGATCGAGCCGAACTTCAGGATGCCGAAGCCTTTGAGCGGGCCCCTCATACCCACGAGACCCTGGCGCAAGGCGCGCGAGAAGTCGATGGCTCCGTTTCGGAAGTCTGTCTAGAGCCGGGCCAGTGGCTAGGAGCCAGGAACATCCCTTGCGACATGTGTTGGTTGCGTGTGACGTGAATGGTTTCCTGGAATGCCCTTTGAAACCAGCCAAAAGAGCGCCCTTCAGAAAATCAACGACTCTACTATGGGTGGAATACCCTCAACAAATGGCTACGATTGGTGGACATAAGTCGCCATGCTGTTACAATCTTCAACATTTAGAATTCATACCCACATTTTGGAGAAATTCGCACAGGGAATTAGCATGATGTGATTTGTATCGCCCAGGGGACCCATGGGCAAAGATGGTCATGGCCCCTTGAATTGTCATAGCCGACAGCGGACATTTGCAATTTTTTGGCTGGAATCGCGGCTTGGAAGTGATAGTTGAGAGCAGCACTTTGTAAACTCCGGAATCTTATCGAGGTCGAGATTTGGTTGCCCTACCCTCCAATTGCCCGGGTTTTGATTCTGGCTCAAATGCTGTTTAAGATGGCCCAAAGATTGGGGCCACATCCATTTTCAACTGCGAGGGGGGGGGGCTTTTTGTAGTCTGTTTGTTTTGGGCTTTGGGCTTGTCTCTGTTGTCGTGGAATTAAGGAAGCTCACAATCAAAGCAACTTCCCATATTTCGAGGACAATGCGCATTTGGTAATCGTTGTGTTGTCAAACAAGGTCTGTTATTTCCACGCCTCCTGAGCCACTAACTTCACCACTTACAATTTTCTGAAGGGCATGAACCCCCTGAAGGGCATGGTCGTTCAAAGGGTGAGGATTCGCGGGCGACGCGCTATTTGGTTCCCATTTCTATGAGCCCCGCGGTGTCCAAAAGGGCGCAAAATGCCGGGGCGGGTTTTTGAAAACCCAAAAGTTGGGGGGACACCCGCGGTTCGAAACTCTTCGCACAAAGATGTTGTCAAGTTGCAACCCCCTCAAGGCCTCACCTCTTTCAGAGAGTCCCACCTGATTTGGGCTCCCAACAAATATAAACGACGTCAAGCCAACCTTTTTCCCCTAAAAAGCCGCGTGTCTTTTCGCGTAAGAAAAAACCGTGTCCTTCTTCCGCCGAACAAAAGGCTCTGGAGATTGAGGGAAAGAAACATCCATAGGAGTCTGGGAAGCTGACGACCCTCAAGGCAATTTCCTAAGCAAGGCGAGTTGGAGATTCAGTGCTTCGGGGTTGAACGAACACCCACATGTCTTTCTGGTCATCCGAATCCTTTTG